CCCGGTGCGCGCGGGCCCCCACCCCCGCCGCGGGATGGGCCGCAGCGTCTCCGGTCGAGTGCGCCCTGCGGCGCAGGGGGCGGGCGCCTTCGAGGAGGAGGAGCCCTCGCTTTTCTTACCTCAGGGCCCTGATTTTTTCGGCGCGGATCCGCCCAGGATTCCTTCTTCCCATTGGGCCCCGGGCTGGGCGAGTGGGCCGGGTGGTCGGGGGCCCCGCGCGCGCCCTGACGTTGGCCGGCCGCTCAGCGCGCCCTCGACTTGCAGTGTGCAGCCCGCGACGACTGGCGCTGTGCGCGCTCCATGCACGAGTTCTCAGCCAAGGACATCGACGGGCACATGGTTAACCTGGACAAGTATCGGTGGGCACCCGCCGGCCTAGTGGGGGAGGCGGGGAGAAGGCGGGTTCCCCTGGCCTCGCCTGACCGCCCCATCCCGCCTCCAGGGGCTTCGTGTGCATCGTCACCAACGTGGCCTCCCAATGAGGCAAAACGGCCGTAAACTACACTCAGCTCGTCGACCTGCACGCCCGATACGCTGAGTGCGGTTTACGCATCCTGGCCTTCCCCTGCAACCAGTTCGGGAGGCAGGTGCGTGGCGGGCCTGGTGTCCCTGGGTGGGGCGTGGGGAGAGGGTCAGAGTGCCTCTCCACTCATCCCCGCACCCCCGCGCGCCCCAGGAGCCAGGGTCTAACGCGGAGATCAAAGAGTTCGCCGCGGGCTACAACGTCAAATTCGATATGTTCAGCAAGATCTGCGTGAACGGGGACGACGCGCACCCGCTGTGGAAGTGGATGAAGGCTCAGCCTAAGGGGAGGGGCATGCTGGGAAAGTGAGTGGACGGCGGGAGTGGGGGGAGGATGGCCCCGGGAGGCTGTGGGGATTCGCAGGTGCCGTGGGATTTGTCGTGACCTCGCTCTTTTTCTGCAGCGCCATCAAGTGGAACTTCACCAAGGTGAGAGAGCTGGGGGAAGCATAGCAGGGACTAGGTCCAGGGCTGGCCGCTGTTTATTCGGGCACCAGCTGCGGCTCGCCCAAGGGGCCCCGGGCCCGGGCCAAAGGGGGCAGCAGGTGGGGGGCTGCTTGCCACAGCTCCCTTGCTAGGGTCCTCGTGGTTGCCTCCCGCCCTGACGTGCGTCTCCGCAGTTCCTGATCGACAAGAACGGCTGCGTGGTGAAGCGCTACGGCCCCATGGAGGAGCCCCTGGTAGGTGCCTCTGCAGGGAGCCCGCGGGGGCGGACCACAGGAGGGGGCCCCCCTGATCCCTCTTTCCCGCAGGTGATAGAGAAGGACCTGCCCTGCTACCTTTAGCTCCACAAGCGCGTCCCCCGCCCGAGCCCACCGCCCGCGCCCCTCAGAGCCTTCCACCCGGCACCCATGACGGTCGGCCTGAAAACCAGCGCGCTGGTGGGGCCGGCCCGAGAACCCGGCGTGCACCCCCGCCGGAGGAAGGTCCCTCGGCCGGGCTCGGCTGCGGCTCGGCGCCCCCACCCGTCTTGTGGGAATAAAACATACAGATTGGTCTGCTGGCTGCTTCTGTCTCCCACGGGGGGCGTGGGGGAGGGGCTCAGGGTAGGTGTCTGCTCCCCAGGCTTGAGGGGGCGTGAGGGAGGAGTCTCTTCTGGGTTCTGAGGTTCAGAGGGCTGCCCCTGGCTCCCCAGCCCCCTTGCCTGCTAAGCACAGCTTGGAGCACAAGCAGAGCTGATCTTGGAGGAGATAATACCTCTTAACTGGCTGTTCTGGCGCGAGAGTTAACCCGTTAGGAGGCAGTTGCTCGGGCGGCCTGGGGCCTCAGCCTTCCCCAGTGCACTGAGATGGGAGGGTCAGGGCACCCGGGCCTTATGGCCCTCCCCATGGGGGGCCCAATACACCTGGGGCCGGGCATCGGGCCAACCTGGTCTGGGCACAGAGCCGCGCAAGGCAGGGTCTCCTCAACAGAGTTGTGGTGTGGACGCTGAGCCGGGGCACCCTGGCTTGCCTACGGGGCCTCATTTGGCAGAAGGGGGTGTTGTGCACAGTCCCCCCCTGGGGGGCCCTGCAGCCCAGCACCACTTGACAGCCTGGGGGGCCCGGGAGGCGGTGGGCGCAGCCTGCCTGCTGGCAGCTTGAGAGAGCTATTGTGGGGAAGGGGTGGGCACAGCTGGAGAGAGGCCAAACCTCCCCCCACTTGCAGTGCCCCCATGGAAGACCAGCAGCAGGGGGTGGGGACCTGCAGACAGAGAAGCTGGGAGATGGGAATAACCCGGTTTGAGACCCCAGGTGCTGGGGGCTGCTTCCACTGGCTTCTGCCCACTTGTCTGCCTCCTGGATGGGGCAGCGTTCTGCAAATTCCGGGCCAGAGGCCAGGCGTCCTCCCCACGGCTTCCAGGAAGGGCCTGGCGCCCACTCCTGCCTTCCAGACCCGGCCCAGCTCTGGGGGCCTCCTGTCCCTGGGCTGCCCTGCCTGCCAGTACCAACACCCCTGAGGAACTTGGGGAGGAAACCGAGGCAGAGCCACAGCCCTGCACACCGGGGTCTGAGGAACTGGTCTCCGCACAGTGGGGTCCCAGGTGGGGCTCCTGTCTCTAGCTGGCAGGAGGCAACCAGTGTCTGGTCCAAGACAGCAGGGGCCTGGCACGGCCAGTCCAGAGGCAGCTGGCCTGCCAGAAGGTGCCAGGACTGCAGAGGACAATGGCTCTGGGGGTGGGGTCTGTCTCCCCCAGCCTGGCCCCAGACACACACACACACAGCCGGGCACAGCGGGTGCAGACAGCAAGGTGTGGCTGTGGCCTAAGGAGTGGGCCCCCTCTGCAGGCGGCAGCCACCCCACCTCACTCTCCAGGGCGGGGCCGCAGCAGGTGCCCCCTGAAGACCCTCCTGGAGCAGACCCGCTGCTGTACCCCGCACTGTTCCTGCAGGCCGGAGGAGCAGACGTGGGGAAGTAGTGAAAAGGCACATATATTTAAAAAAGATCTCTTTACATATATACACCTGACATAATTATAAATACAGATAGAAACTGGGGGCCGCCCATCCCGTGGACTCCCAGAGCAGATTCCGGGGTCTGGGAGAGGCGGCCGGGCAATAATTTAGGGAGCAAAGAACAAGAAAAGGGAATTGCATATATTAACGGGGGTCTGCCCCACGGAGCCCCCCAGAGAGGCGGGGCCCTGAGCACCTGGGGTTTCCTGAGTTTCCAGCTCTTGGGGCACCCAGTTTTGTGGATTTCAGGAGTCGGGGCCTGGTGCCCCCGCCCAGGCCTGGAGGGCAGGAGAGGAGAGAGGCACAGACAGGGCGGCCCCCACCCGCGGGCCCCGCATCGTCCTGAGTGGGACCTGCACGCACCGCCGCCTCACCAGGCAGGGGGCGCCCCACAGGGCCGGCAGCTTCCGGGGGGTCTGCCCAGGCAGGCACGGCCGGGAAGGCACTGCAGTGAGGCCTGGAGGCTGGAGGAGGGCGCCCCCGCCCCCCTTCTCTCAGTAGTCGGCAGGAAGCCTGGGCCCTGCTCACCCCCGATCACCCC